TCCAACATTTCAACATCCATTTCAAGATAATTGCCCTCTGATGAACAATCGGCAGATTCACTCCTAGATTTCTCATGAAGAACCTTATAAACCTCAAGAAGCTCTTTTCTTGCCTCATTAATTGCACTGTGCAACTCTTCCAAATTCTCAGATCTCTTCCACATCTGATATCTCCCACTGATTGATTCACATATGTCACTGGAAATGTAAGAAGAGATTGCAGACACTACAGTATTTACAATTTTATGACCAGCATCCCCAAGATCTGAAAACTTCAAAATTTTTAGCATCAACTGTAGAAAAATATTGACTTCAAGAGAAATATTTGTTGCAGGAACAGGAATAGACAACACGTTCAGAGAAGAACGTGATTCACGAATTGTAAAATTAGTAGAGTGTAATGCAGGTGGCAGGTCTTCAAGCTTCCCCTCAGTAGAATCAACAAGATCAGTCAATGCATTGTCATCAATATCAATGTTAAACTGACCCAGATCCTCTGCTGTGTTGCCATATATAACCATACTCAGACTGCGATAGCTGCCCCTTACAACTATATGACTTGTAACAACAGCCTGAGAAAGAGAAAGGAGTAAACACCAAAATGGTACAAATCTTTGGATAGAAATATTTTTTTTAAATAATTATTTTTCTTAATCTCCCTTGGGAAATTAGCAAAATAAGACAGTATTCTTTCAAAATAAACAACCAGAACACAACCTTAGGCAATAAAGTGAAATAACGAGGACAATGCATCCACCAAACATCTTTAGTAAATTAATAGTATACATTACTCTTATAAAAACATATATGATAAGCAAACAAGAACCATACCTACTCAGAATTTCAATAATATCCTTTTCACTAGTATCAGTCACCAAACAAATTAAATTAGATTAAATCATGTCAAAAGATCTTTTACGCATTAGTATTTACTTAACTATGAGTTTGACATACAAATTACTTCTCATGAAATACATCTTTTGCATCTATCTGTAAAAAAACAAAAGCTAAATATCTACACCATACAATTAATGGATCAAACAAAAAAATACAACAATATTGATACACCTTTGAACAAATCCAAACGGAATAGAAGTAAATGTTAGATATATTATATCTTTTATCTTTTAGTTAGTTTGTTATTATTTCTCATTTGTATTTTGGGCTTAGCCCATATTTCTTCTATTATAAATAGAGAATCCTATGTGTGTATTTAACACAAGGGAGATTAATCTAAATATAGTTTTTCACTATATTCAACAGTAAATAAATATTAAAACAGTTTGGGTAACAAGGAACCAAACACTTAATAATAGTCAGATTAGAAAATGGTCTAAAATTTCATAAATACCTCTACTTCTAGTACATTTGATGAAGATTGTGAATAGAGAAAGGGCTGACAAAGTCTTCTAAACCTCGTCTCTCCCTCACAATGAACAAAAACCTCTATTGCAAATGATGGAGGTGAAGTCGCCCTGAAAATGTCACCAGCAATGAACAAAAGTATTATAAAAACTTCAAAAGTCATCCAAAACCACAAATGCAAAGTGCATCTAGTAAACATGAATCCTAAGGCCCAATTAAACATGAGCAACACAATGGCAGAGTGCATCAAGTAAAAAACTTAATTCAACACTTATTTTAAGCTTATCTATGCATATATCATAAAAGCTTACCATGAAGCTTACAGAAATAAACTAAAAAGTTTATTTTAATAACTTTTAGCAATCACCATGAAACCTATTGCAATAAGATTAAAAAAACTTATAACAAGGTCATACGCCATTTTTACATTTAATAAAACTAGTGCAAATAGCTTCAAAAATTCATGTATAATGTACACGAAAAATGAGTTCAACACAACAAAACATAGTATAAACTTCCCACCAAAATCATAAATGCAAAAAATTCCTAAATGAAACATGAGCAACACCAAGCCAGAGTGCACCAAGTAAACAACTTAACTCAACTTTTTTTAGCTTATCAAAGACATGCTGATATCATAAGCTTATCATAAATGCAAAATAACCCTAAGAACGATTTAAACATGAGCAACACCAAGTCAGAGTGCATCCAGCAAACAACTTAATTCACCCCTTATTCAGCTTAACACGCATGCTTATACTATACACTTCACTGTGACGCTTCCAGAAAAAAAAAACTTATTTTGATTTATTAACCAATCACCATGACACCATCAGACATATTGGAATAAGAATAAAAAAAACTTACAACAAGGTGATGAGCCATTTCCATAGGAACAAATAAGCAGGCGCTCGGAAGCCCATCCCACTAAATTTTCACGTTAATGTGAAAGCTAGTACAAATAGATTTAAAAATTCATGTATCATACACACGAAAAATGGGTTGGACACCATAAAACATAGCATAAACTTCCAACCAAAAACAAATGCAAAACAATCCTGAGGACAAATTAAACATGAGCAACACCAAGCCAGAGTGTACCCAGTAAACAACTTAATTCAGCACTTACTTTCAGCTTATCATACGTGTGCGTATTTCATAAGCTTAACCATAAAGCTTACAGAAATAAATAAAAAAGAAAATTATTTTAATCATTTCCCCAATCACCATTGACCTATCACAAAAAGATTAAAAAACATCTAGTAAGGTCATAAGCCTCTTTCATTAGCAAAAATAAGTAGGTGCTTGGGAAGCCAATCCCACGTAATTTTCACAATTAATGTGAAAACTAGTACAGATAGCTTTAAAAAGTAATGTATCATACATAAAAGAAAAAAAAATGGGTTGGACACGCAACTAAACATATTATAAAATCCCTAGAAACTCTTTCAACCAATTCCGAAGGGTATAAAGTGTTATTCTACATTACATTACACAATGTAGCCATCTAAAACAAGCATGAGCAACCACCAACTCTCAATGCCACCAAGCAATAAAGAATCCCCACTATTCAGTCCAACCTTCTATCACTTCAAACCAATTTCAAAAACTCAACACAAAAATAACATACCCAATGAGTGCCACTGCTTGAGCAACTGATGACGCACTCTGTTCAAGAAACTCACAAGCGGTGATAACAATGGGCTCTGAGAAAATCACCTGCAAGAAAGGACTCTCGGTTACTACAACCAACCATAAGAAATCCACCAAACCCCACTAAAACACATTCCAAAGTTCGCAGTCGCTAATAACACACAACTATGATGAGGAAAGTAAGGAGTAGCCAACACCAACCACGCTTAAAGCTTACCGAAAAGAGTTCTTTAAAATTTCCCACTTAGCAATGCGATTGAAAGAAAGAATCGCGTTGAGAGATAGAGAGAAGCGAAAAATGACGTTACCTCGTCGACGTACTCATCGAGGTGTGGATGAACGAAGGTTTGGGAGAAGAGAACGCATGGCTCTGGTCGACCCATGTGACAATTGAGATCAAGAAGAAAGACACATGAAAATTTAAAATTCTAGGGTTTATGTGAGTGCCTCTCTCCTGGGTGCAACGCAGATTTGGTTTTATGGGTTGCGCGCTCGTGGCCGACCTCTGAAGACGAGAGAGAGTAGTAGTGCTTAAGGAGAGAGGGAAAGGGAATTCTGAGTTTTTTTATTTTTATTTTCATTTTTCCGATTTTGGGTGAATTCCAAATAATGCTATTCTTCATCTTTTTTCCTAAATCATGGGATGTCAAATCTAACCATTTAACCTTTAACTATGTTATCTTAACTACATATCTATTCATTAATGAATAAAATTATCATTTTTATAATTATTTTTTCAATTAAAATAAATTTGCTCTATTTTTTAAACTTTTTATATACACTTTTTTATTATTGATTTTGTGTATGGAAAATTTATAATTTTATTCTAAATTTTAGTAACATTTTCTAACTTAATAATTATTATAATATTTTTTTATTTCATAAAAAACTGGGCATCTTTTTGCATTTTCCAATAGTTACTATGAATAAATTTAGGAAAATTAAAAATTATTAATTTTAAATTTTAAAATATGACAAATTATATATGAAGAAACAAATGCTTTTATTATTTTTTTTAATTCCATTTTTAATTATTAAACAGTCGTAACACTTTTTACATTAAAAAAAAATTGTAAAACTAAGTAAGAATTATTGTGTAAGAATATGTTCTGTGGATGCTCTTCAAGATTAATTAGATTCTCGGTAATTTAGTTTTTGTAATAAGTATAACATCTATTTGAATTGATGTCTCAAGACACGCATAACCGAGTTTGGAATAAGAACAAGGAAAACTTATATTAGAAACTTGGTTGGAAAAAACCACATTTTAACTTGGTTTGAAATAAAAACTCTTATACCACTTGATAAAGAAAGAAGAATACATTAACTCCAAGTTTTAAACCAAATAAATCAAAGAAAATATATGGAATATAAACTTGCACAAATGTAAACAAAGAACCAGCAAATGTTAAATTTAAAAATATAAAGGGAGATTATAAATGGAGAAACACACTACAAGTTAAGAATCGAACGTTCAAATAAATAAAAATAATTTTTTTTATTTCTATCAATACAAAACTAGCATCTTCCACTTATATAATCACGAATATGATTGAGAACTGGTGTAACCCTACTAAAATTATACCAATGTCATTTAACACTTTTCCATTTTTAAATATTAAATATGTTCATCTATATTTAAATTAACGACAATAAATTTATTTAAAGATGACTTTTTTAAAATAAAGTGTCATTATAATGCATACAAACAGTCCTATCAAAAGTTTAAATTAATTTTGTACAATATAGACAAACTATTCTCTACTCATTGCATACAGCCTACCTATTTTCAATTTTATTACGGTTTAGAGTTATCATTATTAAACTTCTATTTAAAAATAATCCCATTTACTTAATAGCTTATTATCCTATTTAGATATTTTAAAATTTTAACATGAAATAAGCCAAACCAAGATTTTTTAAAAATCAAGGTCAAAACTTAAAATAACCTGTGCTTTGAAATTTTAAAAAGGCGAAACCTATTTAGACAAAACCTTGGTTGGGTAAACTTATTCCCATCATTATCTTCCTTTTAACCAAAGAAATCAGACATTGCACATAAATATTCTAGATAAATTCCAATGCTATCAATCAATAAAAACTTTACCAAAATCGCAAAAATTTATATTTAATGAATGCCAGGACTCAGAACAGCATGATTTAGCCCTGGAAAAGGAAATTATCTAATGACTTGACTATGCAGTAACTCAACAGCAGCGGCAACCACACCCCTTCCTTCTGAAGAAACGTCAAATCCAGGTTCTTCAATTTTTCTGTTCAGAAGCTTGTCAAGCTCCCCACGTAATTTCTGCATTATTCCATTACCGAGAGATCGTTATGCTCTAGTATGGGTAAAATTAAGATTAGGATCCTCTAAATCGAGGAGTGCACTTTAGAGGATAAAATCCAATAATAGCACTTGGTTAGAAAATCAATAGTTGAAATTGAATTAACTGCAGATTTTACCATATATACGTTTGTTTTTGTAACAAATAACCATTGTGAGATCATCTCTTCAAGTAATAAAGCCAAAACATAAGAGATTTGCTGGGAAAAGTCAGGGGGAACATTACCCTTATTAACTCGATAACACTTTTTGAAGCAGAGAAATGAAGGTAACCTCCAAGCATGTCAATGCCCTCACCACTTTTGCTGGGGACTAGATTACCACCAAATAGAAGTAGGGCATAATCTGAAATATTCGTAGAGTCTCTAATATAGATGCTGGTTGTTTTCACCTTTTCACTATACACAATGTACGGCAGAGGAAAGAGATGAACCCCAGCATTAACAGAAGCAGGATGGATGTCAACCTTCCCTACTTCTTTAGTGTAAAATGCTGTCCTTTTCCCTCTTCTTTTGCACTGCACAACATTGGGGTAGAGCCCGGCACAAAGAATTGCACAAACCATCTCCAAATCGTGACTGTACTGGTTGTAAGCCTGCAAAGACATCATATGTTTGATAACCGTTTTCCTAATACTTGCTCAGAATTTAGCCATACATTTGAAACAGAACAGGGGCTTACATTAGGTCCCCTGGACTTGTCAACAAATCCAATGTCAGATAATAAATTGAGAAACTGCATCCTCATATCATCAATCAACCGCAAGGTTACAGGGGACAGAAAATTATCCCAACAAAACTGCTTCTCATTCCCACTTCGTTTTGCATCCTTCCATCCCTCAAAAGCTTTGAGAAGGGCTATGTGATCACTGAGTCAAAAAATATATCTATATTATAATTGAGAACTAGCATGATTGATGCAGTAAAAATTGAATGAGCACTACTGAAAGGAACAATTTTCTAGAACAATATGATGGACTTACCTGCAAGAATCACCAGCAAAAGATTGCTTTGCCGCATCGGCTTCCTCTTTTCTGTTTATGGGTAAGACAAATGGGTTGCGGTAAGCAAGAGCAGCAGCAATAATTAAGGCAGGATTGAGGCACTGAAAGATAGAGCCCATGAGAAGCATCTTTCCCATGTTTGGGTCCAAAGGTATGTTACAAAGATGGCGACCTGTAAGTATCAAATTAGCTAAGCCTCAGATAACATCCCAAATCTAGACTCTATTGCTTAAGGAGACAAACTTATTCAGCATAATATACCCAGTGGAGTGAGCTCCTCGTGTTCATCTAATGCCCCAACTGTTTTAAGAAGTTCAATAGCATTCTTAACAGCTAAAGGATCTGGTGGTTGAAGTGCCTTTTCTAAAAATGATGCCACAGTTCCAAGCCGCAAACTTTTAATATGAAGGCACAACTCTTGCAAAGGTGTTCGGAGGATTTCAGCTAACTGGTATTGAGGCATTGCTTCATGGACCAGTTTTGGGTATAACCTATAACAAACTCCAGGTTGCACTCGACCAGCTCGTCCACGTCTCTGGAAAAGTCTACCGATTAGTAAAAGTAAAACATTGCATGTTTCTCCGTCTTATATTTTTGGAAATGGCGAAGGGAGGGGAGCAAGGGATTAGAGTCAAATACAATGTTTAACAAATAAGGGGCTCAGCCTGAAGAGTAACATGTTCAATGGGAGCAATATATATGCTGTGAAAAATATATTGAACAACCTCAATACCTGATGAGCTGAAGCCTTTGAAATCCATGATGGCAACAAGCAGGCAAGCTTATTTAGAGCATCATAGCTGGTCTCCTTCGCTTTGCCACAGTCTATGACATACACAACGTCATCTATGGTGATGCTACTCTCAGCAATATTTGTTGCCAGAACAATTTTCCTACAACAGCAAAATAACAATCAAATGTCAAGAAAACCAAATATACAAAAGAGTAAAATAACTCACATCGTAACAGATCATTTGATGTATATTCAGTAAAGCAAAAAGTCAATTACAGTGTCAATACAGTAAAGCACAAAACAAAGCAGAAAAAATATCAATGCAAGAAGTTAGGTTTTCCAAGAGTTTAGATTATGCAAGGCCCCTTAAATGGACTCAGCTCCTGGAACCAATTGATAGATGGTTATTCAATAGGTACCTAATTTCCCATGGTCATTTCAAGTTAATGAACAGCCACACCTTTGGACAACATTTTTTTCCCAGAAACAATCTTCCTCTAGCAATTAACATGTTTCATTATATCATTATCAGTTGTTAAATTCTGCAAATTGACACTAATGCACAATAATATTCAGTTTCACATATATTATTATTAATATGTTGGAGCCTTTCTCCAAATTATTATATTTTGAGGACAACTTAAGTTTCTTGCGAACCTAAGCTTTTCTTATTAATAAAGACAAAATGCCTTCAACTGGAATCTATCTTAAGCTACTTCTGAATTTGGTAAGTTAGCAATAGTACAGTTTATACGGGAAAATCCCTGAAATAAAACCAAGGAAACTAGATCAACCAGTCTAAATTCACCAGATCCCCACATTCAGGTCCAATATGTAGTTTGGCTTCTGGCTTGATCTTTATCCCCTTCATCTATAGAGCATGTTTCTACTCATGAACTTCTCCAAGCATATTTCTAAAATGGAAGACGATATAAAATGAAATTGACAAAAGAAACATGCTTGCCTCTTGTTTGGAGGAGGACGATCAAATATTTCGCATTGGTTGGCAGTTGGCATTGAACCATGTAAAGGAAGGATCAAAAACTTGTGAGGGTCTCCGAGTAAGTTATTTCCTTTAAGTTTGTCAAGTAGTTTAGAGATTTCATCCCAGCCAGTGAGAAATACAAGAATTGCTCCACTACCTTCATTCCGACATATATATTCAATTGTAGCCTCTACCTGAAACATCATAGGAATAAAATGACACAGGCACACTATAAAAAGAATCCCACAACATGGGAAAAAGGAACAGGGAAAACAATATTGCTACC